CAAAATGAAATGCAATCATATAACTCTTGAATTGCATTTGCGTATTCTGATATGTGTATTGCTATCAAATTATATATATTGCAATGAAGATTTACTAAAATAATTATAATTTATCAAAAGTAATAACATAATTTATATATCTCCTAGAGAATTATTATAAAAAATATTTTGTCTCCATTTTAATACCATTAATCTAATTATAAAAATAATTGCATTGATTTAAATTTATATTTTATTATTCACAAATATTAAATTGTATACCTCATCCATTATGATCATATACATATGTAGATATATGCATTATCGCATTCGGTGGTATAAAGTCTCATATTCACTAGAATTCAACCTGAATACGATGAGGATGATGGTGTCAAATTCACGGTACCATTTGCGCAACGAACTGTACAATGAGAAACTTGACAGTAATACCAAGTAGCTACTTTTGTGTTGAATATAGAATAGCTTAAAATATAACTATTGAATATCTTTTCACTAATTCAATTCGTCCAAGTTTAAAAATTATTATTTTCTTTCTGCAACAGATATTTATCAAATTTTTTCAATTTTAATAAAATATATATTTCATTTATCTTATGTATATTTCATATATAATTTTAATACAAGTTGCAATATATTATGTTAAATTTTTATAAATATATATTTTATTAATATTTCGCATCTCTTTACTGTATTTCTTATATTATATCATATCTTAAAAAATTCACATTAAAAATCTCAATAGTACAATTAAAAATAATTAATAGACATCAATAATAAAAAATGTCTCTAAAAGATTCTTATTGTTATATACAATAAATCTTGACGTTTTTGTCGAGGAAAGATAGATGCCAAAAAATTTAAAAAGTTTTCAATTTTGAGTTAAGTACGTTTTTTTAGTAGTCAATTTTCGTCTGTGTATCTATCCGTATCAGAAATGAAACTGATGTAATTCCCGACAAGATCCACATATTGTAGACGAAAGTGGAGCAGCGGACAGTAGTGAATTTCCGCGAGGTTCAACAAGAACATCTCTTTGCCGCAGGCGAAATTTCGCTTGATAATTCACACGATGGAATTCTGTTGCCATAATTACATAAGTTCACCATTACGCAATTATACCCTGCTCGGAATGTTGGGAGTTCATGTGGAAAAAACGCAATATTTAACGGTATATTTTGTATCAAAGGACTGACGTTTAATTCGAGCAATCGATTTCACGATTCATTATTGAGCATTTTAATTGAATCTAATTATCCACTCTTTATCATATTATCTGTAACAGAACTATTTATTACACGATTCCACTGATATAGAATTTATAATTAACACATTATGCTCGTAATAGAAAATTTTCAAATATTTTCATATAACAGTTTTACATTTTTTAAAAATATTAGTTAGCATTTAAAAAAATGTAATGTCATTATTTCATAGTTGTATCAATTTCAAATGCAGAAATATAATTTCAAGAATTAAAAAAACATTGTCTGTTTACGTAATAATTTCAATAAATAATAATAAAATAATTATTTATTGTATTAACAGATAACAAATAATATACAAAAGTAATGCGTCGCATTTTTTTAAAAAAGAATTTATTGATCGCATAGGTAAAACAACTTAAAATTGTTCGAAGTATGACCCTTCTGCGTCAATACATTTTTGCCAACGCGATTTCCATGCGTCATAAATGGAACTCCTTGACTGGGATGCTTGTCGAAGTAGCTTGTACGTTGTCAACCGACTCGAGCTGTTGTCCTTTGAGCTCCCTTTTCAGCCGAGGAAATAAAGTCCGCCGGGGCCAAATTCTTGAGCATTTCAAAAGTTTCCAAGCTTCACGCAAAACTTTATCGCATATAATTCGACGCGACCACTAAGCAGAGGTTCACAGAATAATAAAAGCGCATGGAAACAATTACCGTTGGAAAGCTAAGTATCCCCAACATCGCTCTGCGATGTATAACAAAAAATGCGACGCATTACTTTCCGGACAAACCCTGTAGATATATCTAACGTAACAATTTCAATAAATAATAATAAAATTATGATTTAATAGTATTAACAGATAGGAAAAAACATAGATATCTAATTAAGCATAAATATAAAAATATAAATTACCACACACAAGTAAAAAAAAAATAAGTAATAATATTTTTCTAACTTTTATATTTTATATAGTAGTTGTAAAAAAAGACAATAATTCATACACCGAAAGTTATTTTTTTCTAGAAAATTCTTACCGAAAAAAATGATGATATTGCATCATTGTCAGGCATTATTCTCGCTTGTCGCTATCCAGTCGTTTTAAAAAGACGGGAAAGAGAGAATTGGGCCACAAAAGCGTTAAAGATATTTTCCTGGAGATACCAAGTAACGAGCGCCGTATTAAGACGCAGCTTTAAACTGCGAGATTACGCGATGCGAAATAGGGTCGCGATTGTCTTGCATTCCGAGTTGTCTCGCGCGTGCGTGTCCATATACAGGGTAATCCATAGCGAGAAAACGCGAGTGCTTCGCTCTTATACGGAATCTTCAAATTAATTTTAAGATATATTTTACATTCCGAGAAACCGCGCAGTTTTGCCGACTGTTCCTTATATTAAAAATTGTCTCTAATATCTCAATCTTTCTCTCTACCGAGGATAATAAATAATAAAATACAAAACAGAAAGAAGTGGTGCGGATAAATTAGATAAAATGAATGAGCTTGAATAAATGTGTATTAGAGAGAGAGAGAGAATTGTTTTGCTGCTAATAAATAAAAAAAGATCAAACTTATAAAATAATAACCGTATTATATAAAAGTACGAATAAAATATTTTTCTAACATAAATATGCAATCTAATCTTTAAATATATATGTATAAAAATGATTATAATAATCTGAAATACCGATAAAATCCGGATGATATATGTGCTCTGGCTTATCCACACCTTTATATACTTAATTCTAATATAATATACATGTATATCCTTCGCCAAGGATCTCGGCTTTAGAATACATTGATAATGCACTTTCTCGTGCACTTGCATTCCCTCGCTAAGATCACCCTGTATGCAGGGGTGCTTCTTATATCTTGATAGACGAGTGCATTGATTGCACGAAAGCGCTGAGCATCGATCAACCAACCTAAATCTGCCTCAATGCGCCCGAACACGCGAACCCTTCAGCCTTCTATCCGAACGGACACCCTTCCTTCTATTCCCGTATTATCTAAACAACAACTTTCCTCTCTCCTCCCCGCTGAATATAGCTCCACCAGAGTAAATTCGCTCTGTCTGCGGTTTTCGAGGTCCCGCTATGCACATCCGCAAAGGTGCTTAGGAATTTCAGATTTTCGTGCAAACTAACGAAACTTTTAAGCTGCTATTGACCAATGGCAAAAATTCACAAAACTGACAAATAATTCTATGCAGAAATATTTATCAATTTCGTTCCCCAATTATGTATGATAAGAATTAAATTATATAATATATGCATATATAAAATATATTTTTAAAATGTTTAAAAAAATTAACCATTTATAAATTATGAATTTTTTGGTAAAAAGACATATTTATATTGAATTATAAATTTTAGTAAGTATATGTATACATATATATATTTTTTTATTTTCAATTTAAATAATAAAAGAAAAACTTTTCTAACTTTATTACAGCTACTTTTTCTGCATAAAAATTATTGTTCCACTCTTGAGGAGTGCTTTTTCACGAAGTAAACTTTCTCGCGCAATAGCAGCCGAGAAGATTAAATGGCGAGTGCGTGTTAATAGCTCGTGGAAAATTTCAGTATATGATGATGTTCGCGTCGCGCCGTAGTGTGATTATCGCAGTTGTGCGCTACGATAACAACGCTCGATGGCACGTTGTGCAAAGTAATTATATCAGAAATTAGGTAGGCCAGAGCTTCTAATAGCTTCCGCAGGAAAATTCTCAGGAGAAACTCGAGGGAGAAAAAATAGCGATGGTATGAGAGAGTATAGTTCCTCATTAAATCTCGGCGGTGTTGAATTCGCAGACTAACTTTCGACGATCTGAATTTTCATCGTCAACCAATATTTATGTACCTAATTACATTTTTAAATTTATTCCAGTCAATTCTTCAACGCGTGCGCCGCATAAAATAGATAAAAAATGGAACTAAAACGAAATTCTGATAAAGCACAAATCTCGCGATAATTTTGCAATTATTTTATATATTTACATCTACTCCGAATAAAAATTTTAAAAAATCGCACGCCACAGAAATTAAATTATTTTGAAACGCAATCTGATTGATGTATTTAATTTCCTTCTAACTTTAATATCACGATTGTGAAAAAAAGTAGCAAAGAGAGAGAGAGAGAGAGAGAGAGAAAAGAGGAAACAGATTTATTGTAAAAAATTAATTATAAAAAATTAATAACCTAATTTTAATTTTAAATAATCAATAACCAATTTGACTTCGGCAAATTACAAAATGAATACGTTCATTCCCGAGTGATTAATTAAGGATTGAAGGCTATGCGCGCAATTGCCTCATTAATATGGCAATAGACTTCTGTAGAAGGACGTTGAGCATAACGTTATACGGCTGCCATTATTGTTGTTATTATAGCGGTCTCTATGTCGGTAGATTCAGCTTATTTTATAGCGGTAATTATGTAAACAGCGTTACTCTCGACGGAATTATATTAAAATTTACCAATGCAACGTGTGCACGCGCACGGAAACGCAATGTGTTAATACTCGAGCTTCATACTTTGAATCTGCATTACACGACACGAATATTTAATGCATAATTACAAATGCTACAATTATCGCGCAAAGCCTGCGATATTTCTGTCATCCATTCTAAAATCTAGCAGAGTTGCTCCGTCCTGTTTTCTATACTGGTTAAATTAAGACCCATTGAGAGGGAGACAGAGAGTTCTGTTTGTTTAATGAAAAAAAATACTGATGTGAATTATCTTTCTATTCAAACCAGCATTGTAAAATAAATTGATTATTTGGGTGTTTCAGGTACTTCGATACGACAGCAAACAAGAAGTTGGCGAGCCGAACACAAAGCCGCGAGAACACTCGGTATAATTATGGGGGCGTTTCTTCTCTGTTGGCTGCCGTTCTTCATCTGGTGAGTATCAATTATGGCATAATTCAGCGGATTAATTTTCTATTTTTCTTTTTTCTTTTTTTTTTTCCATGACATCAAAAAAAATATTCATCGATTTTGGATAATTATTTCGTTAAGATTTTACATTAAATAAAGACGCAAGTGTTTGATTTCATTTTTATGTTTGATTATTGTCAACTACCTAGAAGACAAAATTTTACAATTATCGATCAACAATTTCTAAATTAAAAACTCAAAATATAAATACGTATATTAAATTAATTTTTTCCAAAATTGAATTTGTTCCTCTCTAACTATTTCGTAACATTAAATGAGAGATGTTTGAAACTTTCAAATGTCAACGTGTCATCATAAACTTCCTTGCGAAAGAGAGAACGCAATCCAAATCTCATCAAGCAAAATACTTTTAGTGGAAACGAACTTGGCGACTTTGCTTTGAAGAATTCTTGTTGTGGAGTTTATGTATCAAGCCGTCGTTAAGAACGAGAGCTTTACTGATGCCGAATATCTAAGGTTAACAGACAAAGAGAGAAAAAGAGGGAGAAAGAGAAGAGGATAGTCTCGTCTGTCTTATGTTTTATTAATGCAAGCTCGGAAAATGTATCTCTATGGAGTTTGCTGATGGCTTACCCTACTCTCTCCACAAGCTTGCTCGTAGTTTGACTATTTGCTTGACTAAGCGCCGCAACCGTAGAGGAATATGAAGATCTCCCTTAGAAAAGGACATGAGAAACAGGAAAAACCTTACCTCGGAGAGAAGTTTAAAATAGCGACAAAATATCAAACGCAGAAGAAAGATACCACGGTCTAGCAAACATATCAATGAATTTTTAGAAAATTTTCCAATAATTACAATATGGTTACAACTAAATAAATAAACTTTGCAGTACAAAAGTTTTTAAACTTCTATTTAAAAAATAAAAAAATGAGATAAATTGTTTTAATGAAATCGGTACGACAAAATTAGATCTAACTATGTCCTTGTAAAATTATCAAAATGTCACTCTGTTGTTTTATTTATGCACATAAATTAGCTTACTTTCTCTCTTTTGGTAAAATGTAACATTACAGTGCAGCGATAAAACATTTTATTGAATAACGAATAACTGATAGATAAATACGCGCCTGAAAATGTTGCTCTCTATGCAAATAGAACAAAGTGATGTAGATATGAATGTGTAACAAGACATCTCCATTTTGCAACTCGGTTTTTATTCATGCAAATGCACAAAGCGCATCACTCTACTGACCTAAAAGCTCGCATTAGTTTCGTAGTTCGGCCATTTCCCAAATCGTGTTATCGATTTTTGGATGATCGGCTCTCTTATCACATGAATAATTTTATATTTCTAAAAAAATTCTGAATTTTTTAGCAAGTCTCTTTAATACTCTTTCATATTTATAATTGTTTTTGTATTGAACTGAAAAATTATTAAATTCATCGATATTTATTTCTATTTATTATATTTTTTAAATCCAATCATTTCTTAGCAGATAATTATTTCTAAGAATAAAAATAGAATATAAAAGATAAAAAAAATATATAAGCAAAAATAATTTGAGTTTATGCAAAATAACAAAAATTGAAGGATCTCAATAAAAATAAGATAAAAATAATCTTTTGATATAAAATTTTTTTCTCTCTCCCTCTTGCCAATTTCCATATAAGTAAATAAATAACTAAATAAATAACTAAATAAATAAAAATAAATAAATATATATATATATATATATATATATATATACATTATATATAAGTAAATATATTTTTGCGACAATTATTCTGTATTGTTTCGTATTTATAAGTTTAAAAAAAAAAGAAGAGAGAAAGAGAAAAAAAGAGAAATCTGCAAATATTTTAATATCTTATTTTTGCATTTAAAAGAGAATTCGATACCATCATCTATTAATGAGACACATGTAAGAACAAAGATAAAAATATATAACAATAAAGAAATATAAGATAATATTACTGTGGGATTAATTTATATATAGTTGTAGCAGGGACCAACTGCATATTCAGAGTCCAATTTGTTCGATTGATATCGGTGGCTTTGTAATTTTCGTCAGAGATAGCTGCTACCACAAATCTATGTCGATGGTTACTGGTTAATATTGTTCTATGTCGGTATCGCGATCAATGTTTCGTGCATTAATAATGATATGACTGTGGTCAAAAATATACGATCGCATTATGTTCTTAGAATTTCTCTATGTCAATTCAGTTTAAACAAAATATCCAATCCAGCCAATAATATGTTATTGTGTATATGATGGATTTTTTGATAAATTTAAAATAAATTCTTTCTAAATGAAAAAATCACAAAAGTTTCACAATACAATATTTTTAAAATTATTGAATTCTTTACACTATATTTTAATTTCTGTATATAATTTTTTAATAATTTGCGGAACAAATTATTCTATTTTGAAATGTATTTTAGATTAAAGAGAAATCAGATTTTTATAATATCTATTTAAAAAAATTGTAATATATTATATATTATATCTACATTTCACAATTTATATATAAAATTAAATAGTTTAAAAAATCATCTTTTTTTAATGTAAACTTTATATTGCAATAAAATCATATCAAAAAGCATTTTTAAATAATTATTTCTATGAAAAAATATTTTTATTTGATTTTTATTTTTAATTCTCTTAAATTTTTATTTTTGTATAAAGTGGCCACATTCAAAAACACTCTACTCTAGTAGAATACATTTTTCTATAATAAAAATAAAATAAAACGTTTAATATTTCAAAATTTTCAAAGCTTTGATATCTTAATTTAATTTTGAAAAATGTGTATGAATTAAAATAAATATGTATAAAACAGACATTCTTGTTATTTTAAACTAGCAAACAATTTTTCGTCAGTTTGATTTGCATGATATATGTATTTGAAACAATTACACTCCACTCGAATCAATAATCGTTTCTCTTAAATAAATGTATATTTCAAGCTATTAAAACCTCGTTAAATAAATGACAAACAGAAAGATATAATTCACTGTGAGAACCTATCGTGAATGTACCTGCACGTAATTTGCTTACAATTAGTCATTTGCTAACAATAAGACAAGTTGAGGAACAATCTCGAATTTAAGATTTGAATTCCACGGTTCCCTTTATCCCTCTAGAGTGATGTAGACGAGAAAAATATAATTCTCGTTAAATCAAATTCTTGGAATAACAATAAATATTTTAAATGTGATAATACTTCGAAATCCTAAGGCAGAAATCAAAATTATGGATACTACGCGTGAAGAATTGAAAATACGGATCTTATTTTAACATCGATCGCGTAAGTGGAAAAGGCAATATCGAAACATTGATTTAAAATCTCCGCATAATGCAACAGATGTATCTATATGGAAAATATATGGCGCGCATGTTGCAAGAAGAGACAAGAAGCAAAAAAAAAAAAAAAAGAAACATATCTCCGTCTTAATTTGACATAGAACAAATCCTATAAATCGAAAATTATGGTGCACCGTATTCAGCCGATCCCTTGACTTTCTCCTACTTTTCTCCTTGACTTTTTCCTACAAATTTACAGCCTCTTACTCTGCGAATCTCGATCCCGATTATTGATTTGATTTACGTTATTGCATTATTTATAATATGTTACGTTTTTTAGATTAAATAATTTACTGTATACATGTTCTTAATTTTTATATTCTTTAATTCCTTTAATTTTTATATTCTTTAATAATTCCTATTTTCCTTCGTCTATCTCATCAGTATTTGATATTACAAGTATATGTATGCTTTTTATAAATAAAAATCTATTTTTCAAATACTTCAAATTATATAACATTCCTGAAAATGTGTCGAGTTATGTCCCGAATTTTTGACACAAAATGTAATGATAAATTAAATTGGAAGAAATATAGAGTGAGACGTATCGCGGAGATAATTTTTCTCCACAATTTTCTATACATCTACCTCTTAAATAGGTTTAAAACGATACCCCGAATGAAGTGCTTAACCTTTTCAAGCAGATGTAAAGAATGGTCCTTTTCTGTCGTTCTTTCAGGTATCTAACGACGTCGCTGTGTGGCGAGGCCTGCTACTGCCCGAACACGGTGGTGTCGGTGCTCTTTTGGATAGGTTACTTCAATAGCGCCCTAAATCCGCTCATCTACGCGTATTTCAACCGCGACTTTCGCGACGCCTTCAAGGACACGCTGAAGAGCGCTCTGCCCTGTTGCGCCAATTGTTGGAAGACACCCTCGCAATTCGTGTAGCGCGACGAGACTTGAAGAAATCAATTTCTGAAAGGCGAGTTTATCACCCCACTCACGATCTACCTCTTCCTCTGATTTTTTTTTTCCCCCGACGATTTTTCAGCCGAAGCAAAATCGAGCCACTTCGTTCCAGTGATTTTTCAACATCAATCGATATACCGGTGTTCGCAATTAACCTTTATTGCCCGGATTTATTGACTTCACACATCATTGGCTTTTCCGTTATTCCGTAACTTTGTGCGAGGTGTACAAAGTTACGTTGATTGTTAATCGTCACGCGATGCACGCCTTAGCGATTTTATTCTCTTTATTTCACCGTATAATACATTCTCATTTTAACGAATTATAAATAATACTTTTAAAAAGTATGATTTTATAATTTAGATAAAAGAAGATGCGCGAAAGAAAAAAACATATATGTGTATAAACACAAAAAATGTATATATCTTTTTATTGGAAATTATTAAATTTTGTTTTATATAATATTTAAATTTTATCGCTATGAGCGTGTGATTTTATCGCGCGTGACTTTTTTAATCTTTTATGAGTTTGGGACATTAGTTAAAGTTGAAATAATGATTTTCGACAGAATATTAATTCTAAATACATGTAAAATTGTGTGAACGTTGATTTAAAGTAAAAGCGGAAATTAAAACAGTTTAATCGTGGATTTGCGATCTTTAAAGTGAGCGCCTATCAATTTACCATGGTCGTCCTTCTTAGGGTGACGATCGGCGGCACGTAATTGCCTCCCATATAATCGCTGTCCCGAAATACATCCGGTAATATAATCCCCCGCTATCATATCGCTGGCGGAAGCACACGACAAACGCTTTCGAGAGATTCGAGATCGAAATTAATGCTCCCGAAGAGCGGGGTCATTAAAACGGGTATTAACGAGTATAATAGACGCTATTACTGAGCGATTATCATCGATATTCTTCAATTTGTGATTTTAAGACGGAATTTTCATTTAGCATTTCGATATATAACGGGAGAAATCCGTCAAATCAAATATCATATTGTTAATGAAGGATTTTGCAAATTCTAGCAAGAGAATTTCGGAAAAGTTTCCAGTGGCAATTATTAATTCGCTAATATCTACAGAAAATTAACGAAATTTTATTCGACAAAAAATGTCTATATCAATTAAATTGAGTTTTTAAATATATATTTTTTAATATATATTTTTTATTTTTTTAATATATTTTTTCTTTTTCTTCATTTTCCTTCAAGATAAAAATATTTATTTATATATGAAAAAGTAAAATTTATTTAAAAAAACCATCATCTCAATTAACATTTTAATCTTTTCTTTTCTTGCAAAATTATTAAAAATCTTGTCACGAGTAAAATTTCAATAATTTTCATAAAAATAAAATAAATTTATAATAATAAATAAATTCCCTTAATTTTTCAGTATCAAGTGCGCCCAAACATTATATATCATTATTTAAATAAATCTAATGTAATTTCAAATTTTTAAATAATTGTGATTTACAAAACGTACAAACTATATAACTTAAAAATAAAATTCTATAGTTTCTTAAAATTCCTAAAATAGAATCTATTCTGATGCGTTATAAAATAATTTATCAAACTTTATTATTTTTATTTACATTACATATTCTTTATATATTCTTTTATATATATATATATATATATATATATATTGTTATTTATTATATATTATTATTTAAAATATTTCTAATAAATAAAAACCGGGTATAGATTATTTTCCTAGCAAAAATTAATGCAATTTTCTGTGTGTGTTTGTAAATGAATAATAATTAAATCTTATACATAAATATATTTTTTACTATCGTATAGGCGGAATGATTTCGCGCAAAGACAGCGACACCAGAAGTTAAGCGGAACAATGGATAAACGCGTGCAAGGTATGCACGAGATTACACAAGGGGATTTGTTAATCTATGCTTACTCTGTAAATACGTCGAGATGCCCGGCTAGCGCTAATTAGATGTAATTATTAGCGCACCGGCACACGCAAGGCTGTAATATGTGTAATGCGAGATACTTAACGCAGTTAGTAACAAGACCGCATGTGTGTGTGTAATATTACCGTAATCACGAAACAATAACGCCACGATGGATCACTACACAGAATTTATAAAGAGACGTCCATCTTGCGCGCCATATTGCCTGTATAAATGTACCATATAGCAATAAAACTGAAAGACAGATTGTAAATATATAATAAAAGCGTTTTAGAGATACGTGTGCATGTTTGTGGGGTATATGTATGGGTGAGTGAGTTAGGTGTATGTGTGTATTCGTGCTCATTGTTTTTGTAAGTATAATAGATATAATGGATAATATTATACACACATATTGGCGTCGAAATTTTATGTGTTGCTTATGTGTACAACAATAGAGAACTCGAGTCAAGAACATACTACGACGACATAATTAAATGAGCATCTCATTGTTCGAATATATATATCATTATTTCTTTAGATCGCATAACGTAGAGTCTCACATTTTTATTTCAATCAAAAAGGATAAGTGATATTTTAATATTATTCGTATTAATAAATATCAATAAAATTTTACAACAACACCGAGAGCTCATTATTTAAAGAAATAAAAATATATATTTTAAATTAATAAGACGTCTCTATTTATTTGTGCCATCATAGAATTATATCTGTAAAGGTATTCCGTATTCTGTCAACGCACTTGATTTAACCTTATTTTTTTTTCAGATTATCGAGAAATATCGCTTCCGATAATTGTACTTGGATAAGCAAAAGTTGTAATATCTTATCAATTCCCGTTCTACTATGATATTATTTTCAATAATACAGATAATAAAAATAAAAAGACTAAAAATGTAAAGAAAATGTCTCGATGATAATAAAATTGAAATACGAAGAAATAAAGGGGTTAATTGGAAGATAACTTTTATAATTAAAGAATATAATTAAAAGAGAGGCGTTTTAAAACGAAAGATTGATATTAGAACCTTTATTTTCAAATTATTATATTCAATCTCTAAATACACAAGCAGCTACTTTGATTCTATTATATACTTTTTGATCTTATTATTACAGACAGCGCACACATATTACGCGATGTTTTTTAATCAAACACACTGAAATATTGCGCAAAGTTTTTTAATAGAGCGCGCCATAAATATCGAAAAATTAACGCAATATATACGGAATACCTTTTCTGCATCAATGGTTTATTTAATCGATCGTCGGACTCCAGAATAATTCATCTGCTCTACTGGATGATTATGCGACGAGAAAGAGAAACCAAGCGCGCGCGAATGAGAGAGTGAATGTGGACAAGAGATTATGCTAACGCGCGCAGTTACGCGGACCGTCCGAGTAAAGACATTAATTAGCGTAATTCCCTGACCGGCACGACTTTCTCGTGCAATTTCTGTCAAATCATATTTCAGTTTTACGTTCGCTTAATGAAATCATCGAAATATCTCGTCACTAGAAAACAAGTTCGCTAAATTGCAAGGAAAATGCAATTGCACGACATAATTAAAGCATCCAAAAAGCGATACCAGGCTATTAGAAAATTCTTGAAATACGGGAATCTCTTGAAATATATATAAGAACGATCATACGTAAAATTGATCGGTTGTTATGTTAATTCAATCGAGTATACTGCATTTGAATATTTAATTTCTACATTGATATTTTTAGAAATATATTCTTATTAATTTATTAGTGCTAATGGTTGAGCTGACTAATTATATCAAGCAGCTCAGTAAGTATTAGCATTAATAAATTAATAAAAATGTATTTCTAATTTGTATACTTTATAATTAGTATACCTACTTAATTGTCGTAATAATAATTTTTCTAATTCGAAGAATTAATCTCTATTGTATACCGATATCGAAACATAAAGAATATAACTGATCTGAAAATAGTGCAAATTTGAAGCGAACATGGGCTTTCATTTTTCTGACACAAATGTTCCTTTCTCGACGCGCGTCGACATGGATTTTATTTTTCTAGGTATACATCGTGAGATTAGTTTTCGTCGTTGAGGCGTTTAGACACGTTTTATATCGGGCTTCCGTTCAAGTAAGTTTCAGCTGATCGTACATGCGTATGAAAGAAAGATAATGTCTCAAGATCTATTTTCGCGCATTCGAATTGCGTCAGATCCGAAAAAAAGGAAAATTAAAATTAATTATACAATATTTAAAAAACTAATAAAATTAATAATTTTTTAAAAATACAATGATATTTTTAAAAATTACTAATACACAAACACAATATTAAAAAATAAATATAAATGTTATTCACTTTTGTCAAGTTATTATTAAATGTATCTCATTTTTTGAAAATTTATAGAAAATGTAACAAGAAATATTGACAAAATAAAATATACACACTTCTTTAAAGCAATCATGAAATCTTCATGAAACTAGAAATGCGAAAATGGACCTTGGTAAATTCTTTTTCTCGGAAGAAATCTGTTAAAAAAGATATTGGACGAAGAAACTCTCGAATTTTTCACGTCGTGACATTTCGAGAGACGTTTCTATCAACGATATCAACTATTCGCAGAAACATACCACAGAGAGAGAGAATCAAGAGGAGACACACTTTTTGATCAGCAAAATAATCAATCGATATCGTTCGTTCGTACAAAAAAAGCAATGTTGTGTCTGACAATCCGTGTAGTGACGCTAAAAAAAATTTCATCTTGTAAAGAAACAACAGTTTAACGCGCGCTGTACACTGGGCCTAAAAAAAAGCGTAGTGTTTAAACGAGCGATTCTAGCGGTTCACTGCAATGGCAATTTTAGGGCGGCGTAGACGTTTAAAAGTGTCTAGCGGCACAAATCGAACACACGCAGCAAATAGAGTTACTAAAGTGCGAATGGAAAAACGCGACGAAAGAACTGATATGTATAGATAATCTATGTAAATTGCGTGAATATGAGAGTGAAAAATAGGAATGAAAGGAAGAGAAAAAGCGACTATAAGTGAATCGAATCGGAGTAAAATTGACTCGGCCGAAATATTTTATGCAAATTATTATCGATTCTTAGGATATTCTAGTTTATTTTATATATAAAAACGATTTTTATATAATCTAATTTTTATCTCTACTATATGTAAGACGTCTATTTTTCTCCTTTACTTTTTTCTATATAAAATATAGCTTTTTCTTCGATATTTCTCGCAGAGAGAGGAAGGATACTATCGAAAATTAAGAATTAGGAGCAAACAGACGTGTATCCTTTTCATCAAATTCGTGTGATTTCGAGTCAACTCTGTTCCATTCGATTGTAATAGCCAATAACAGATAAAGTGAGAACGCGAGAGGAATGGAAAATAAACGATGTTATATTACGAAAGGAAGCACAATGCAGTCTTTAATCACATCCTCGCTCCCCAATCTACCCTGTAACATTCCCCGTGTCAATATTTTATGAGTCCCCGCATTTTACGTGGTGAATTAATTTAGCGACGACATCGTCACGGTAGTCGGGCTTGTTTGCGGTTAACCAACGACGGAAAAGAGCATGATTGATCGATAGTCTAACAGACTGTGCGACGAAAGTTATCCTTCGCTTTCTCTTCCTCTCTCTTTAGTATTTCTGATGATATAATATATCATTTCCCAAAAGAATCCCACAGACAATTAATATATTATTATTCATATTTTTGCTATATTAATAATATCTGTAATAACGGAGTATCGAATTAATCGATATTGTAATTTGATGCTTTTTTGCAACCTGCTTCGGCCATTTTAGACGTAGAGAATTAATTTATTCGTTTGAATAAATAAATACGAACGAAAGCAATAAATACAGAAACGTAAGTACGTGTACGAACGAGAGTAACAAATATAAAAATGCAGTGATTTAGAAAAATGCATCTCTTTCTCCGCAGAGACGCTTAAAGAACTAAATAAAATCCACCGAGAATAATTTCGAGCTATATTATCCGCAGCCTGCAATTTTATTTTCGCGCAATTTCTACATAAAGAGATCCAGGAAAGAGGGAAAAATATTTATATTTCTCTAGCAAAAGTTTCCTCCTCTCTATATTCAGTTTTCAGTTATTTGATTTATGTATTTTTATTTATCATTGAAACTCTGTCTCGTTTCTCGGTAAAATTTTACATCAATAAAATAACTACACACAATCTTCCAGCATTTCTGACAACTATACTCAAAATTGAATAAATACAGGATAAATTCATCGAGCGTCCATTTTTTCTCATATTCCGATAATGAACAATTGAGATATTATTATAAGCGAAGAGAGGAAAAAAAACGGGAAGAAAATCACAATCAAAACGGTCAAGAAGCGATTGCGAGCATGAATAATAATGTCCCTCTCGTGTGTTATTACATTACTCGCCATTACAATATTTTCCTTCACACAGCTGTGCGCATTATTCATTCGTATCGACGATTGAATTTCACGGTGAATTCTGCCGAGGCGATCAGAATAACAATTCCGTCTGACAAAATTGCGATCGACGACGAGAAATTTGCGCGCGAAGCAACTGACAGAAAATCCCCATCCCCTTTCACTCTCTCTCTCCGTCCAGGGAAAACGCTCCGAAAAATGGCAGACGCGATTTCGCGCGAGGGAGAAAGAGAGAGAGAGAGAACAATCATCGATACTTGTGTCAGGTCTCGCGTCGACAGGCGCGCTGACAGCCACGAAAAGACGTTCTTTTACTACCCCGTCTTATATCGGATCCTTATCTCGAAATATACACACACATGTAGGCGCGTATTTTGTGCAAAAAGATCACGTCGAAATGAGAAAAATATTTTCCCTGTCCCCTCTTAAGAAGAGGAAAAAAAAAAAGCACGAACTGATCCCTCCGTCCGATGTCATAGCATCAAATTTTCCACTTGTAGGAAAACGAAAATATTCTAATTGTGTAAAAACATATAAACGTTTTTCTTCCTTTTCGTATTCCAGTTCAAGTAAATTACAATAAAATTTAAATTTTCATTGTGAAAAGAAAGAATTTGCGAATATGCCTACTGTATATTTATATGAAAAATTTTATGAATAAAAAATAAAAACGTACTATACGTTCTATACAAAATTTAAAAATATACGTACATAAAGAAAATATACGTATAAAAAATATAAACAAAAGAAAAAGATATAGGAAAAGTATAGAAGATATAAAAAAAAGAGAGAAAAGCAGAACAAATGATAAAAAAAAATAAAGGGAAGTTTTTAAAATGAGAAAATAGAATATTTAATATTAAATGTGAAATTTAAGTAAAAATTACAAAGGATAAAACTATATAGAATATTTCCAATAAAATAAATGTCGCGGTAAAGGTATATTCTTAAAAAACACCAATTATTTTCTCTCCCTTTTATCCCACTTGTTTTTCCGTTTCCATTAATCTGATTTAATCCCGCTGCGCAATTCTTGTATTACGGTGGATTTTTACGATAATTCGCAATCGTGTCGTATCACGGGGAACCGCGTGTAATTGCGACTTACAAATCGGAGGTAAAACAACCTTATCTGCCACGTGAAGCACAGCAGA